TCTCCAGGATGCAACATTACTTTTTTGTATGGCCAATCTAGCACTCACTTTATAATTTATCAGTTTATCTTGGATAGGAACCTACTAAGCTTTGTCTCTGCAACTTCTGATCATGCACAGTCGGCATTCCACCACAACATGGGAGGATGTCGTGGGTGAACCGACGGGGGCTTTGTTAGGGAAGTTTTCCAATATCCATATTTCTTTCTCGAAAGTTCCCCACTCAGTGTGATGGATTAGGTAGTGAGGACAGGCAACGTTTAGGTCAGGATATCAAAATTGACCAAGGACAGTCCTCTCAAAGATGGTGGAGAGAGATGGACTACAGAGAGCCAGATCTACAAACGAGAAAGTGTTTGAAGAAAAGGAAAAATGAGCGCATCGCCAGTATTGAGAAGAATTATGTTCTGGTTGTCAATAATATTTTCAAGTATATTATCTCTCGGGCAGGTACCAAACAGAATTGTGGGCATTTAAGTCCCCTACAATAAGAAAAGGGGTGGGCAACTGAAAAAACACACCTTCAAGTTCTTTTTGTGACACGACGTGGCCAGGAGGAATGTATATACTGCATATCTTTAGCGAAAAGGACAGTAGGTGTATCCGAACGCATATGGTTTGAAAGTCAGTTCGTTTGTTCCTGATAGGAAAGAGTCAAAAGAACAGCGACATCACCATGAGCACAGAGCTCGTCATCTTGATCAAACTGATACATGCTGAAACTCCGAAGACAGAGGGGATGAAAAAGAAGATGATTTTCCTGAAGGCAGATTATAGATGGTCTATGGCGAGAAATTATCATCTCGATTCTTCTGAATGTGCATGAAAGCAGTTTATATTCTATGAGAGAGCTATTGTAGTATTTTTTCCTTTCTCATTTCTGATAGGTTGTAGAGGATCTCTCATAGTGCTCCTCGCCAACAGCAGAGTCATCTTGACAGATGGAGATGGTCGCCAGTGTCAGGAGGGATATCGCGTTTTTCTGCCACAGGCTACCGAGATCTACAGGGTCTCGAGGAATGCCTGATGTGAGTCTCGGTACTAAGAAGTTGAGAGCACTTCGATAATGATATTTTATTCAGTGGCGATATCAGTCTGGAATCAATTTCCATGAAGGGCTCAGTAGATGTGATCTGTGGCTGAATGAGTTTTTTGTTAGGTTTTTTATACTTCATGCGTACTGTCACTTTTCCACCATGGCAGTATCGAAAATACATTTATTAAAATACATATTTTCAATACTTTTGTATTTTGTATATAAAATACAAATTTGAATTTGTATAAAAAATACTTTGAATTTTGTATTTGTATCAAAAATACTTTCTGATATTATTTTACATTTTTTTTATCCGCCGTTGAAAATTTGAATTTCAATATTTAAATATGGATAATACAAAGCTCAATAACCCAAAATTTAACTTTCATGTACACGTAGGCTTACGTATATTCGAAGTAATGTAATCCTTATGAAGTATTCTCTATACTTCATAAGGATTACATTATGAATGCTGCGGAAAATCAATTTCGAGATTTCAGCAGAAATACACGTTTTGAAATAGTCTGATACCAAATTTTTGTTTTTCAAAATGTCCGTTGGTCTGCGAACACCGAGCCTAAGCCATAAATAGGTTTCTTTTCAAAATGGACCATATTTTTCAAAATACTCAAAAGTTGATCTGGCTTGAGTCCACACTTTGCGATTTTGTAAAACATTTTTTAAAATTTCATGGTACTCTACATGAAGCACCTATGACATCTTTTTTTTTTTTCAAAAATAGCTCCAAATTTTCTTTTAAACTGTTACAAATAATAGAGTAAAATACACTTATAAAGATGACATAGATCTGTTTTGATTGTTAACTCTAAATCTTCAAAAATTATTTGTTTGAATTTTCTGGTGTCTTCCTACAACTACAAAATTGAAGAAAGAGTTTTTTTCAAGAATAAATTTTCCCCGTTTTTATTTCTTTCGTTATGATCATGAATAAATGTTTTTGGAAAATTGAGTATTTTTTGCGCAATACTATGTGCAATTTTATAAAGTAACAAAAACAGATTTTATCAAAAACGGCTAATTTTTTTCTTTAAACTTTTTGAAAGGATAGTGTTAAATGCACCCTATAAGGCTTTTTGCACTATTTTTTTTGTTTTTTCAAAAATTACAAAAAAGTAATGTTTTTGACTTGTCTCAAACATCTACAATTTACAGGTGAATTGTTCACATTATTATATTTATGAGTACATGTGCTTTAAATAATGTCAAATATAACTTCTCAAAAATGCTGAATTTTTAGTGAAAATGAGCTCAAAATTCTGCATTTTCAGAAACTCTTAACGCTATTTTCTCAAAAATGGCTCAAAATTTGTCTTCAAACTTTTCATATGAGTAGTGCTAATTGTACTGTTTAATGTGACATAAAGTTAATTTCAGGGTATTCTTTTATTGCTTTTTTTTTTCTTAAAAATTACACCAATGTAATTTTCTTGAAATATCTCTCATACAGTTAATACGCACATTTCCAACGATTTGTATACACTATTACATTTGTAAAAGGCAGTGCTTCAATTGACTTCCAACTAAGTTTTTCAAAATCTCAAAATATTACTGAGAAAAAAAAAGCGCTTCAAATTTCTACTTTACAGTAACACTTGAAAGCAATTTTCATAAAAACGATGAAGTCCAACAAGGGGACACCCCACTGGGGTGCCAGGGTTGACACAGATATACAGTGAGGTTATGACATAGCGCCGCCCCATCGTGGATCCCCCTGCTCACCCCGGAGTTCAGTAGAACACCTAGTCCAAGCCGATTGATCAGGAGTGGGTTAGCTCCCGATTGCCCATCTATACTCTGGTTTCATAAGGTGGCATGTCAAGGGCTGTCGTCCTGTTATCAAAGATCGAGAATGAGCAATGAGGTAAGTTAAAGATGACTGGTGAAAGAAAGGAATATGTGAGAGCTCTCCTTGCATCTCCTATCAGAATTTGGAATAAACCCACCCTGACGGGTCAATCAGAAAAAATTTTGAAAATTTATTTAATAATCTTTGACAATTGTATTGGAAGTGTGGTTTCTTCCCACAAGATAAATGGAATGTAGATGAAACAGGTGTAACCACTGTTAATGCCCTTCTGAAGATAATAGCTGCAAAGAGTTCAAAATAATTGTGGCAGACAACATCCGCAGAAAGAGATACACTGGTGACAACTTACTTTTTCATCAATGCTTTGGGAATGATGATGCACCCAGGATTTGTTTTCCCTTTGAAATCTTACCAAGATGAAAAATTCAACGGGTATCTACGAATTTATTTTTGAGTCATGTATGAATATCACTTGTCACAATTAATGATCTTCAATTTATTAGTAGTTTCTTGAACTTAATGTGGGCCTAAATGGGTGCAGGTTATTTTTAAAGTAAAAAAGATTTCTGAACCAACATACAATTTTTTAATATAACAGTACTAGCTCTTTTTTTTTTAATGTGAAAAATGTCCCATCCCTCCACACTCTCTCCTACAATTCTATATTGTTTATTTGGGATTGATAACATCAACATGGTTTATTGACAATTTTGTGTTTCTGGAATTAAAGATTTAGATATTATAGTTAATAATAAAATAGGCTTTGATATATTGACTCATCATACACAATTGTAATTGTATATGTGACTCAATAAATATTATTATTATTATTATTATTATTATTATTATTATTATTATTATTATTATTATTATTATTATTATTATTATAAATGCTTATGTGATAAACAGTTCTTTTAAAGTTATAAGGATAAGTAAAGAGACAAAAATCCAAATTTACTTCAGTAAATGTGCTTTCAACATTATACAACTCTTAAGTTAAATCTAAACACATAGATTGTTTTCAGTGAAGTCTCCTAGTACTAACTATAAAATTCAAAGTTTGGAACGAGTTCAGCGCATATTTTTTTGTCATATGCAGCTTATAAGGCTAATCTTAAAAATTCTAGATGTTTTTTACAGCATGACTTGAGGATTGATCAGTATGCACAGACTCACGATTTGACTCCCAGTGAGCTTTCTGCATTTTGTAAGGGGTGGAAATAAAACAACACATTCATAAAAGTACACATATTACATCCAACCATAAAGATAGAATAATAAAAAATATCCCAAACATTGGTCACTTCACTCACTCCTGAGGAATGGAGGTTCAAACATGTTGGTTTTGGAGTTCCAAATAGTTCACACGAATTTAAATAAATTATGCGTATTTAAAGTTAATGGTTGTTAAAGAATCACGAGGCCAGAGACAAGTGTGCATCAGGCAACTCACTTCCATCTGGCAACCCAATGCATAATCTTCTTAGGTGATATCAGATCGCAGATTCAGATATAAGATCGCAAATTCAACGCACATAACTTTTAGGGTGAGAAAGATTAAATAAAGTGAACTAATATTGGAGGATGAACTAATATTGGAGGAGAACCACAAACAGTGAAACATGATGCATGTGAAGATGTGTAATGATGGTAGTGGCACAAAAGACAGTGATGATGATTTTAAGGAACAAGCAAATAGTGAGAGCTTGGGCAAAAAATTTTAACATTATCACAACAATTTTCTAGAATAAATAAAAAGTAAATAAATTACAAAAATCTCCTAATGCCCTTCAAAATCTGAGGTCATCTTATTTCTGGTAAGTAAGGTATAGAAAATGGCACAATAAAGGGGAAGTTCTAAATGCATACAACATACAATTAATTACAAGGATTTATAATGTACATCTTTAGTGGCCCTGTTACTTTGAGTGAATACAATAATTAATGAGTCAATATTCTGAAAGATATTTTTCATGATTTATTAGATAGATAGTAAGTTATGTAAATACTGAATAATACTTTTTGATGAATTATTGTCATTAATCATCATGTGGCAGCATAACTACTAATTTTTGTAGCAATCAGAAATCATAGATGGCAATGTCACGAAGAAATAAATTAAAATTAAAAACACACCTGGCCTTATCAGAATTTATGTCTGCCAGCAGTTTTAAAACTTCAGATGTGACACAGACATTCCCAGTTCTCCGACTGTCTAAATGAACAGTACTTTTCTGGGCTAAATTCAATTTGTTAAAATAAACAAATTTGGGACTGGTTTCTGGAGAACTCGATCCACTGTTTGCAGCTTGCTTTCCACACTGTTCTGCAACTTCTGATACTAAGGACGTTAAGTGAGGGCCCAGAAATATATCCAGGCGTTTGAAGAGATCTAAATTTAAAATAAGAGAACCTAGAAAAAAAATGTGTACATGAATATATTGTTGAAACAGTATATAGTGCATGAGGAACTTTCCTTCTCATACCATCTATGAAGAGACACACTGTAGCACTGAGTGCCCGATATACAACTAAATGATACGTCTCGGGTGTTGTATCATTATTTAGATGTACTTTTGGAACTTTACCAACTCCAGCTGATGTATCTTGTAAATTGGACGGTCCTGTAACAAACCTGCATACAAATAGGATTAGTAACCCAAATTGCATACATAAAAATTGTTTAAATTACAAGTGTCATTCAATAAGTCCTAAGAAATAACACATTTTATGGGGTAGTATTATTTGATTTTTCAACATAATCTCCTTTCAGCTCCATTCATTTTTCTAAGTGTTTTTCCAAATTTTTAAGCTGTCCAAAACGAATTTCGGATGCTCCTTAAAATAGGCATTTGATAGGGCGATGACTTCCTTGTTAGACGTAAACCATTGTCCCCCAAACCATTTATTTGAGTTGGGAAATAAGAAACTGGGGACCAAGTCCAGTGAATATGGTGGATGTTGTAACAATTGAAACAAATTCGTGGCGCAGAGCGAAGTCGCTCGCCTTTCACGAAGGAGATCCGAATTCGATTCTTGTCGATTCCTGGACAATTTCGACCCCTGAAGTGTCCTAAACCCTACCCCTATCCTAATTCCTTCCCAGTTCTGGACGCTGGGTAGTGATGCAGGTTCTCGTTGTAGGAGGCTCGTACGCGGAGATGCTATTTAACTGGCGGCCCTCTTGACAACTGACTGCGACGAAACGTGACATAATATACTGCCAATAATAATGGAGGATTACTCCTAAGCGCGATTAGGAATGAAGGATTATTCTCATGCGCAAAAAATTGAAAAAATAAAATTAAAAAATCCGTAATTTTGGCCATCGCAAATGCGCAGATGTGCACCCGTGCGTTGTCTTGATGAAAGAGGATCTTTTTCCTTTTCAGATGACGTTTTTCCTTCATTTCTTCGCTCAGACGGTTCAATGATGACGCACAATACTCTCCTGATATCGTTTTTCCATTTTCCAAGTAATTGATGTAGGTGATTCCGTGAGCACCCCAAAAACCGTGATCGTAACCTTGTCGGCATTAATTTCACCACCTTCGCCTCTTTCGGAGCCCATTCGCCTTCAAAAATCCACCGATTTTATCGTTCATTTGTGTCTGGAGTGTAGTAATGTACCCATGTTTCATCAACAGTGAAATATCGACGCAGAAAATCCTCGGATTGTGACCGAAAAGCGCCAAAGCCAGGTTCACCACACGATTGCGTTTATTGTCCACTGTCGCAAACGCGGCACCCATCTTGCCGAGATTTTTTCACACCCAATTTTTGGTGCAAAATTGAAGCGACTGTGCCTTGCAATGAGCCTGTGGCTTCAACTATTTCCCGCACTTTGATTCGACCATCACTTAAAACCATATCGTGGATTTTGTGAATAATTTTGGGGGTAGGGACTTCCCCCAGGGCATCCGGAACGATTTTAATATTTTGTGGATGTCCGACCCCGTTTAAATTCATTCACCCAATTGTAAACAATTGCATACACAGGAGCAGACGTGCCATGAACTTCAACTCAGCTTTGATTTCTTTCGGCGTTAACCCTTCCAAATGCTGGTGTTTAATCACTGCTCGAAACTCACTTTTATCAATTTTTATAAAGAAATGGTATTACATGGAATGATAATACTTGTTTTCTTAAATCGTCAACAACAATGAAACTTATGTGATAGAAACAGCTGAAACTCAGTTGATTATATAGGTACGAGTGCTGCATACTGGTAAACATTCATTTTCGACTACGAGCACCATATCTTGGATTTTCTATGAACTTATTAAACGACCTAGGTGATATAATTTGAGCCCAAATAAAAATTGGGTATGTGTATGACAGTTACTTTCTAAATAATGTAAAAGATACAAAACGTATTTCATTAGCAATAATTGGAGCCCAGATTTGTATGACGTTTCATCTGTTTTGCATCTGCAAACTTGAATTTGTGTCTTTAAGCCTATTTTCATGCAAATTTTATAATTTTTAGAGGTTAAACAAAAGATGTGTTTTGGTTTTCAGTCACTTTTTTGCCAATTTTACTTGTTTAAGTTATAATTTATCTAAATTTAAAGTGATTTACTTTCCATTCAGCTCACAGATGGATAATCTGTACTTCAGAATTGCTAACAATACTGAGAATTGCAGCCATGGCATGAACACATCTCTGCATTTCAGTACAAAGTTAAGTTAGAATTTGGTTAGCAATGTAGGCTATTGTAGAATCACCAGGAAGAAAACACATTCATTAATTCACATTTGCAAAGGCACAGAGAATTCTGTAAGTCATATACACTGGGTTATGGACATTTAAAGGGAAGAAAATTTAGGAACTACTGATATCTCTCAATAACACAGACTTTCTCATAGTAGTTAGTTTACTTTTCTCTTTAGTCCAGGCCTGCACTACATTCTGCACTTTGACCTCGAGAGCCATGCGCGAGCCACTTGAGGGCAAACACGGAGAAATTTGAAGGGTGGTGATGAGGCAAATTCTAGGAGTGGGGACCACCAATTAGAATGTGCAAATTCAAACTATGGCATGTAAATTGAAAGAGCAGTTGACGAGAAAACGACAGTCACATACAGTTCAAGTATTATTGCTTTTTGTATTATATTGGAAATCTTTGTTGTAGATACATGACACTAGCAAATATTATAATTGCTATTAGGGCTGATAATGTAATTTGCTTTGCTATGACGTAATCAAAAATATAGTATTTTTCTAAACACAAATTATAATACTAAATTGTTATTGTTTGATGATGACAGCAACAAATGTTTTTAATAACTATGTTTAATTGAATAAGACAGTTCTTTCAAAGCTAATAAAATATTATTCTTCAAAGAATCATGATTATTTTCTGCTCTAATTTCTGACAAGAGACTATATTTCTAATATCAAATCAACAAACACTATTTATTCATCATTTACGACATCGTATAAAAATATTACACCCTTTGCATTCTATTTAACAAGACTCGTGCTAATCTTATGCCTGTAACATATCATCACATAGGTCTGCTCATTGATATCTTCAGATTCATAATGGGGGGAAATGGTCACAAATAGATGTGCTGCTAAACATTACCTTTTTAGCAATTGACTATATACCATTTTTATGTCAATCTTAACGTGAGACACTGCTCCAATGATCATCTTCATTTTGCTATCATTTGGAGATTATAACATTCTGGATGAACTATCAATTTTTAAATTGTAAATTTTTGTTTGTTAGAATTAAATAATAAAGTTTTAAAAATGGCCATTGCTTTAAAATATTACGAATGAGTCACAATGATCATCAACCAAAAAAAATTACATACAATGATGGATACAAATGTGGATATGCAGCAGTGTACAGAAGAACGTACAGTGACTTATAGTCCTTGTAGCTTAAAATACAGGACATTGCCCATTTAAATTAGTGTAAAAATGCTTTCACAGCATTAGATGCCCTGGCATCCAATCTACGCGTCGCGTCATGCAATGTCAGGACTTCTCCCTCCCCGCAAATCTTCCTACCCCCTACCACTTGCACTTTCGGCTCTCTTGCAAGCAGACGGTTGACTCACAAGTGCAGGCCTGCTTTAGTCTATGCTAGTTTTTCAGGATTGCCTCACCCTCTACTCAGTTGCTACCTAAGTACCAACCAGTGCCAAAGACATTTTTTCAGTCTTTCAATTTTTAAGTCCCCAAACAGGATAATTGTAATATGACTTTATGAATATTACAAAAGAGTAAAACATGATCCTACATGCAAACTTTAATAAAAAAAATTTGAGATATTCATGTGATTTGAGCATTTTTGAAAATGAGCAATTTTGAGAACATTTTCACAAAAAAACTTTTTTGAGTTTCAAAGAAAATTCTTTAGAAGTAATTTAAAGCACTTGAACTCACAAGTGCAAATATGTATAAAAAATGGCCACCACAATGAGAGATATGCATCACAAAACTTACATTTGTGTTACTTTAAAAAAATCAAAAGAATATATGAAAATGGCTGAGATGTCATGTTACTCAGTGCATTTAGAATTATCTGGCCAAAAAGTTTAAAGAAAACATCAGAGCTGTTTTTGAAAATATCCTGTTATTGAAATTTTACTTTATTTTTGCACAGTATTATGCAAAAACTACTCATACTTGAAAATATTGTGTATCACTTTATTGAAAGATTGAATCTTCAATATTCTAGTTGGGGTAAGACACTGAAAAAATTTTGCAATTTTCAAAACTTCAGATAATTTACAAAAAAAACAGACCTGCAAAGTACAGGCATGAGTACTTTTCTCTACTCAAGAAAAATACTTAATTCAAAAAATTTGGAGCCTTTTTGAAAAAAAATTGAAGATGTCCTTGAAGCTTTAGGTAAAATACCCCCAAAAATTAAACATCCACTATACATACATTGCAATATTTTCAGAAAATATTCATTAACGCACTTTTATAACTCCTAACCTGTTTCATTAATCAACAATCTGTTTAAAAAACACAGCAGAACATGCATTCTTATTTTCAACACTTTTAGGCTTTAGTTTACAGCCAGGCCCTAGCAATAACAATATCTGATATATCAATGTTCTCCATTTGGGCCTGTTTATTTATAAACAATATTCACTTTTAATTGATACTCAATTTTATCGGACTAATAATATAAAACAATTTACAACAGTATTATGTTTGAGTGTCATCAGTGTTGCCTTCATAAAAAATGCTTCATGAAAAGGGTTTACAGTTTAACTTTACCAAATATAAGAAAATGTGTATATTATCTTAAGAGCCTGTTCTTTAATCTGGCCTATATGTAAGCCTGTTCCTTAATCTGTTGACTGAAACGAAATCTGTGAAGTGCACTTTGAGAATACATACTGATGACAGTGTTTGAAGCATGTATTTTATTAATTAAGTTTTAGAATATTTAAGAAGCTGTCAAACACTAACATTCTAGTTTCAAATGAAAATGTGTTTTTATAGCACAATACTGAAGTGTGCCTAAACAATACAGATGCCCTTTTACAAAAAACTATACAGTGAAACAGCCAACTCAAATAAGCAGGCATTCATTAAAGACAATTTTCCCAGAAGGCACTTCAAATATTTGTTCTATAGTCCTACCTCTCCAATAAGCAGTAAACGTATTTATTAGATTAACCTGTATTATGCAGTCATATTTTTTTTCATCTACTTTGAATTGTTACACAAAAACAATCAGAAGAGAAGGAAATTACTGTTTATTCAACATCTTCCTGCTTAGGAACACACTGTCAATTTAAAAAATTAAAAGGTAATTTAAATTAAAAATAATTAATTTTTGTTTAAATATTAAATTTACAAAGACATTGCATTTCAATTGAATTACCGCAAAATTAATGTTGTGTACTGTAAAATTAAAGTTTCATTCTTTAAGATATATGAAAAAGCCAAGAAAATCAATTTGTTCACTACAGATCACCAAACTAAAATCAACTGTGACTGAGAACTGCTGGGTCTCTAATGCCAAATTAAGCTGCTTAACATTGTCTTGTTAATTATTATGGACATGTACTTCTCACAATTAATTTTTCATCTACATGTTACTTAAGATAATAAGGAATTTTGTTTCGAATTAAATTTTAGCTTTCTACTTAATAAAACTTCAAGAATTCTTCTTTAAATGAAAGATAGTGGGCCCTTCATCACTAATAATATTAATAATGTCAGCCCCGTGGTGCAGACAGTTGTGGCAGCCGTCATCTGCGCCAAGGAGGCTGCAGGTTCGAGTCCTGTGTAGACATGGTTGTATTTGTGATTGTCCCTTCACCCCTCATCATCCTATCATCTCACAATTCACACTTCAAGGCATAACAACCTTGTTGTACTGAGGGATACAGCTGAAGAACTGATCCTTGACAATTCACACACGTTAATCGTGTAGCGGAGTCATTAATTCCCTATAGGCCAATAATAATATAAATAATAATAATAATATATTTGTCACATAAGTTGACATATTGTTGTCTAGCATGAGCAAGTGTGTGACTGTCAGGTTAGGGTTAGAGAAACAAGACAGCAGGTTTGTTAACAAGACACTTTCTGTAGTTTTCTTTTCAGTTAGTTATTTTGAAATTTTTATGAATTTACACCTTTAGATAAAACATTTATCTGTATTTAATGTGTTACTAGCCAGCAACTAATACAGTGATTTTTTATCCTTTAAAACTTGATTTTTCTTACCGTCCATAATGAGAGCTAGTGAAGGGTGATGGCGGATGGCGGGGTATAGATCCACCTTGCAGTTCTGTTTCCAAGTGAGCGGGAAGCAAACTGGTTACAAGGTACCGGTACACGACTTGCATATCACTAGGTTCCAAGCCACTCCTACAAGGAAAAAATAAAAGAATAGAGAAGATATATCTGACAGTGAAATAATAAAAGAATAGAGAAGTTATATCTGAGTGCTTCGAATTACAAACATTCAGGGTATTTAGCTATCAAATGCTTTAATTTCACTTATGTGTATGGCTAATGAATATTTAGTTCAGGGTAGGAAAAACTTTTTTTTTTTAAATCTAACCTGGTGAGTATTTTTGGGTTTTATAGAGAAATATTACTTTTTAAATTTAGTTCACATTATATACTGATTTTCATCATTCAAAAATTCAAACTGAAGTACATTCAATAATTATACATATGGTGCATTCAAAGATTTACACCCCCACTCGTTTTAAGAGTTCAGTCACAATCAATACCGGCAACATAAATTTTCATTAATATTATGTTTGGGTAATAAAGTAACGAATGAGTAACATGTAAAGTTGCAAAAGAAGTTTGAAATTTACTGTAAATTAATTTTAAACCTGTGTTGTTTTTTATTTGTTAGTGTTATTGACTGATTGATTGATGTTTCTGGGCACATCAACTTTTATGGTCAATAGTCCCATTAGTGTAGTGAATGTTTTATTCCAGTAGGAGGAAGTATTCTTCCCCCAACAGATGATGAGAACTAATGCCAAAGTACTGCTGGCTTGCAGGGAATTTCACTCCCCAGATATCCTCACCCCAACCACGTCAAGCTCTGAGCTCCTGAATGGTTTACCAATATTAGTGGAAGAGTGGTGTGTGTTGTGAGTATGTCTGTAAAGGGATAAGTCACGGACAAAGATGAGGAGGGTCAGATCGTGCCTTGGCCCATTTGTTAGGTTACTTCCCCAGAATGCATGTAACAGTGATTGGAGAAACTAATCATTGCAACTGGCCACAAGAATTCTCCTCCACACTGTAGCCGATTTTAACCTCTTTATAGCTAAAATCTGCCATCACCGGGACTCAAACCTAGGACTTCCCAGACAGTCACTGCACAGACAACGATAATACTGGCTCTGAGCTAAGTCAAATGGTTTGTTGTGATGAAATTGGAGTTGTCAATATTACCAAATTAATTTTGTATTTTATAGACAGTTTACTTTGTTTCGTACTTTTGTTTTTTTACTTGTTTAAACACATTTATAGCAATTTAATTCAAACTTTTAATGAATATTTTGAAACAAGTTCGAAGTTTTGTTATTTAAAATTATTTAAAAAATCATTAAAATATTTCAATAGATTTTTCAAGTTTTTACATATTTAGAAATAATAAAAATGCCTGGGTTGTTCAGAGCTGGGCAAATTTAATCCAAACCTGATTTAGTTTATTTTTCTTGTTATCGACATTAATTGTTCTCAGATGAAAAATGGTGCATGCTCCCAATAAATAAAATGAAATTAAAATATACTTACCAGACAAGCTGATCATTGTACAAAAATGTTGTATATTTAACTTGAGCAAACAGAGCTTCAATTAAATTAACAAAACACTGAACTCTAAGAAAAGTTTGCTTATCTAGAGGCAGAAATTGAATTCCTTGAAATATGTCCAATATGTCACAGTGATTGAGTTTCAGGGTAGGTAAATACTAGAAAAAAAATAAGAGCATAGTAAATCATTAAATGAGGATTAAAACAAAACATTTCAAAGAACAACCGACTATAAATACAAACCCGTGAGAAAAAATGATCCAGTTTTTGTTTCAAGTAATCCACATCTCCTCCTTTACTTTCTAGTATAGCACCGAATGTTCCCTTGAACAATCTAAACATCTGGTATGACTGTTGTAGTACTGCCAAATACACTGTATCTTGAACTTCATCACTTTGATATTCTTGGTATTCTGTTCCATCTTTGGTTTTGGTTATGTATGGAATATTAAGAGTCTAATAATAGAAGAAGACAGAATTAAAAACATACTATAGCATCACAGCAATATACAATATAACAATAACAAAATATACCATTGCCATCCAGAACCCTCGCTCTGGTTGATAGTAAAGCTGTCTTGTTTTTTGGGTATGAAGTGACTCGCATGACTGGTCCGGATTGAATGTTCTGTCACATAAATTTAAGAAACATGAGTTTAAGGGCAATACTGGTATATTATAAATACAAAACAGGACTATTACTCACTCAGTAAATTTGATAATGGCTTCAGTAAGTCCAACAGTTTTCATCTGACTGTCAAAATCTGTTTGTGGAGGGAAATAATAAAGGATATTTTTAAGCTCCTGCAAGATAATCAAGAAATGTGAAGTTATAATAAGAACATAGATATTCAACAATAGTACTACAAAAACTTACGTACGTCATAACTTCAGTTAGTACAATTTTACAATAAATTTACCTCTCCTTCTTTTTGTCCATAGGATGAATTATAAACGTAGAAGTTTTGGAGACGTATTTCTGACTTCGTTGTCATTCTAAAGTTTTAAATGATTATTAGAATTACATTTTCTGCGAACTGTTAATATTTGGTATGCGACTTTTCAACACTACGACGGAATGACATAGGTCAAAGGAATAAAATTTCTAAAACTGTACAATTTATAATTAATTTCGTCTATCTAGATTTTTTCATGAATCAATATCTAACAACATTTTGCTGAGAGTAGCGTATATGTAATAAGCACTGTACATTAATCCAAGAGTACGCCATGGGCAGCGACTGTCTTCCTTTTTTTCGTACTCGGCAGTCCCAGGCAGTCCAGTTTCCTCTACTTCCCACTTCTTCCCAACACCCAACTCATGCAGTGCTGCTATCTGCAGTACGCAACATTCGACATGGAGGGTGTGGGGTGCGATGGTTGAAAAGTTTTAGAACGACTTTCTTTCGCTTTGTTGTTACCGGCCGTTTTGGTAAGATTAATTAATTATCTCATATATGTGTGACAGACCACTCTGCGTTTGCTGACTAAATGCATGCAAACGTTTAACACGCATGTCGTGTATTTTACACCATGTTATTTCCAATCCTTGGAGCTATATTTAACCCCGCGACTGCGTGAGACCTACAAATTTGTTATTTCGGACCTACTGAAGTTGAATACTTGTATCTCCAATCGTTGTTTGGTAATTTAAAGTTACTGATTAATACATGATCGTATTTGTCACAAGACGCGCTAAATAAAATTAGTTGTAGAAACTCGAAACGTTCAGAAACAGCTAATTCAGGACACACATTCAGTCAATGTTTTCATTATTATTACAGGACATTCCTGAACCATTAACATATTTCTTTTTTCGTTTTTTTTCATTGATTGAGTTTTGTTTTGCTTTTCTATTGTAACATTGGAGTTTCTAGGGGGAAGATTCTGAAATGCGGAGAGAGAAATGGTTTTATATTAGTCTTACGATTAATTTTGAGGACGCTTACTTGTTACATACAGAGGATAACATTTTGGCTCCACGTGGATGGACGCGTAAGACTTCGACGTGGTGCATTTTATTATTTCAAGTAAACGCTCATCACGATCTCTTTTCACTCGTTTCCTTTCAACTCACGATGCAACAAGAGTAATGATTGCAACTAATACTATGGGAACCGAGACACCATAAAAAAATTGTGAATACTGTCGTTTACCAAAAAAATTTAAATTATTTTCATTTCTCCAATCCTGTTCGGTAGTAACTAGTAACTTAGCCTCGTGTTTAATTGTCTTGAACTGTAGTCTAGGATTTCTTTAGATTGATAATGAAGTTTTCTTTTTGTTGATAATTTTTTTTTGTAACAGCGAATAATATCAAGGAAGTAAAATAATTTTCTTGGGTGTCTGTGCATTGTTGGTCACTGGTCTGCCGGAAAGGGCTTCACTGGGTCCCTTCTATTTGTGTTCGGTATAAAAGATTTTTTGTTATGACATTTTGACACATGATCCATTTCTTAATTTTATCAATTTAATTTATTTAATTTTATTACCTGCCTACCATGTTTTGTTTTTTACTGTGATGCGGAACTTTGCCAACTGAATGCCGTGTAGGTTAAGGTCAGCCCTGGATGTTCGTTAGGTATTTACATGACTATCAATACATCATTTTGTATTAGTATTGTTATATTAAAATAACCACACTTAATGGCCTAATGGATGGGAGAAACGTAAAATGAATCTACCGCTTCTTTCGTGAAGCGGGAAAGTGCAACCTTCATGCAAATTTGCAACTTTGTGTTATTCGCTGGATAGTTTGGTTGTTTTCTATTCAAAGAAATCAAACTTTTTTTTTTCATTTTCTTACCTGCATTTTAGTATAGGAGAATGTGCTTTTGTTGAAATCTACATCAACACGTTATAATGTGACCTTGAAATCTTTCTCACCCCTGGCTTGATTCTTGCAGGCCCTTCTAAATTTGTACTATGCTGCGGGAGTTAGTATATCCTAAATTTATAGCTTTGGAAAGTCTGTTACATTTAGGTACCGTTACTGTCCATATTATTTTAACCACAAAAAATGACACGTTTTACCAACAGAGTGAGTTCTGAACAAAAGCAACATTTTCTGTTCAATGTACATCTTTTTTATGAATATTTATTCATCGAAATGCTCATAACAACTGACTCCCCCCCCCCAAAAAAAACACGTAAATACCAAAAGATTGTTTTGGATTGTTTCGAAATGAATATTATTGTGTCAACCACTAATGAATCTTTTGATCACACCGTCAAGACTGTCAGAGGGCAGCGAATATTTGGGACCATGGAGGTTACATATTATGTTCGATTTTTATACTAATAGAAGAATGTACATGAGCTTGAATAGATTATTTAAAGTACTCTTGCTTCAGAGTAATTCAGAAGGAACTCGTTTTCAGGAAATTAGTTATGTTCCCTTATGGTTTCAAATGGTTACCTACTCCATGGTTTCTGCTTAGTATTAAAAAATATTAAATGTACACAATATATTTTTTATTAGTATATTGTTTCAGATATGCAAATGGCAGTGTTGCAGCTATGAGACTATGTTAATGACTTGTAAATGAAGTTTGTTTGTTTTTTACTCTCTCGACCTTACTTCGCGAGAAGAGAAAGTTTGTAATCGTGCGCCGGAAAATGGCGAATTTTCGACAGAAAAATTTATTGCCGGGCCTTGCTAAGACAAATTAGATAAATGTTGTTCATATATATAGTAAATTACTTCCTCTAACAGGCTGTGTAGACAGTATCCATGTTTTGTGAGTCATCAAAAAATCTATTGACGGTAAATCGTGTCTGTCCCTCTGTAAAGAAAGCTAACGCCGAAACCGTTCAAACCTATTTCCTTCAGCATTGATATCCCTCGAACAAATTAAAGGAAGACAAGGCCCTCTGGGCTTGAAACGGATATTTTTATTTTAGGGGGTACTTGACATGAAGTCTGAAAAGCATTTTTAAAATGTTCTAAAAAAGGCTCCGAATTTGTTGATTTAACTTTCACCTCGGGTAACGTAAATGGAGCGCTTTAGATAATGGTTTCGTTGAAATTCCTGATTTTTTCAAATATTGAAAAAGTTCAATTTTTATGACGTCTTTCTACAACTACAATATTGACGATAGAGATATTTTCCCTGAATGAAATATGTTCTTTAACTGGTCTTGAAATAAGGTCAAGTACAATTTTTCGAAAATATTAGTAGTTTTCACATAATGTTGTGTGAAATACAGGCAATTTTTAATTTTTTAAAACAATTGAAGGACTCAGTTGAACAACATTTTTGTGAAATTGAGTTATTAGGATTAAATATAACTGCAAATATTATTCTTTTAAAGAAATATGTTATTTACATCCAGTATGGAGTTATACGCAAGTGTGCTGTAATTCAAAGTTTCAAAGTGTACTGAGGTACGAGTATATTATAAAAGCTGTAGTAAAATTCTCAATATCTCAGAACTAGGTCAATAGGGAATTACCCCTTGTTCTACTGAGCCCTTCAGTTACGCGCTTGACTTCCGCAGAAACAGCTCCATTTTTTTCTTTAAATTTTCTCTTCGTACGTAACAATATCTTAAATTTTGTAGTTGTTGGAAGACGCTGAAAAAAATTGAAACTTTTTCAATTTTCGATAATTTAAAAAGTTAAACGTAAATGCGACCTGCTCTATTTTTTTAAGCGTTCTTTGCTCTATACGAGTGGGAGGGGAAATGAAGCTATTTTTTAGAAACGTTTGATAAGGCTTCATGAATCCCCCAAAATCAAAATATCCTGCCCGAATTAGTGGGTTCCATCAAAACTAACTCAAGGATATTTTCATGCAATACAGATCTCTTCTTTGACTTCTCCGGCTGTCCGAGTTCTATTTAAGTCACAGTCCCGGCATCTGCAATGAAACCATATTTGAAAAATGTGAAGCAGAAACAACACACACAAATTTCTCAAGTTATATATTAAGGATGTCTTGCATTTTTGCGGATTACTTTAATGAAACAATGTCTTATGAAGCTCTTAAATTATCTGAAACGAACGGAATGATGCATGAAATGACACATTACTAGATGGAAAAGACTGTAGTTACGAACTAAACCCAATATACACAATAACAATAATCTAATTATTTTTTTTTCAATTTGGCCGGATGGATGAAAAACACAATTATTTTATGAATTCGATAAAACAATAAAATGGTGCAGATTGATTTATTTCCCATTCAACTACAGTAACATTATCTTAACTCAAAATATTTCATTGACCTTCCGTGCTCGGAGGGAAACCTTTTTTATTAAGTATTTTTCCCTTTACCTTGGCGAACACCGTTGGTGCATCCTGAGGCCCAAAATTTCGCCATTGTGATCTACCCTTGATAACAATACATTTGATACACTTGATAACCAAACAACGCTCGCAAACGAAATGGCACAATAAATGACGTGAGTTGCTCTGAGCAACACTCTCCCTGCCGGGAAGACGGTCACAATATCTGAGGCTCTTGGTGGAGTTGCAATAGTCCACCTGGACATGTGTTTCTCGGCGGTTACTTATGTCGACAGTGCCGACAGAGAGAGCGCACTGAGCGGTGCTGAGCCTCGTATTGCCGGGCTCACCCGCCGACCTTCGGAGAGGATCGGGCGAGGGGCTTCCTCCCATTTCGAGGAGAGCATAAACCTCCCTATTAGATTGCTCAGATTCCTGCGATACTCACGTCGATAGCTTCAAGGCGGAGGAATTGAGGAGACAGTTTGAAGGCCTCGAGTCACCCGGGCTTTGGTCCGGACGGTTCTCAATTGGGTTTTTGGTTTTGTAGTGGCAGTGCCCAATACTCATGGGCAATTGAGTAGGGACACGTCCTGGCGTATTATGAGTGGCGCTTAATTTGATTACGATGCAAGCCAAAAAAGTTAGTGGCACTGAGCTGGCAGAGTGACTACGCCCTGGCTTGGAATGGAGCCCGTGATGGGTTCTGCGGGAACCCGATCTGAAGGTGTACTTGTCTGTTGGAAGGGGGTGAGGGTAAAGGCTAAATCTTAGGTAGCCACCCTTGGGGAGCAATCTTTCTGGTAGAACAAGATATGTGTGGGGTAGTATGCCATGCAGGGTATTTTGATGGGCAACCCACTCTCCACAAGTGGAGTTGCGTTCATGGATGAAATCGATGGTAGAAGACGCGTAAGCTCGCATGCCTGACGAACAAATTACCGAAGTAGCTTTTGAAATTACGCATGTACCTTGAAATAGATGCTTCACCACGGAGACGACGCTGGCGCACCCTCTAGTGCATACTCTCAAACATGAAGTTAATAAACATAGAGTTTACAGGTAAAATGGCTGACTGAACAACTGGTTACACAATTTTCTTTTTATTTTTAGAATTGTATCCCTTCACATCACACACACAAAAATAGCAGTCATTACTATGGTTTGACTGCTCTCTCCAAATGTTAGGCACTCCATAAGATAGCTACTGTCTTTTGTCACTGATCGAATGTCGAAGATCTACAATGCATACTCTACATACTTTGTGGGGTGCCCAAGATTTAATTTGGTCTCCAAGTTTTATTCCAAAATAGGCAAAATAAGATTTTTTACAAAATCTGTAATATTATGCCCTGCTTAGGCAACGTGTATATCCCACATATATAACAAAAGTGGTGTGGTTTATTTATTCAAGAGCGAAGCGACATTGTAAATACACTTTCGTATTGCACTACAAACCCCCAACATTGTACTTCACTGTACAGCTTGAAACTGATTTTTTTTCCAGATGATCCACACTAATGCAATATAAGAGAAATTAAGACGTGATATGTAAGAACTCGGAAAGACAAGATAAGAATGTGTCTGACGCCAAGAAGTGTCTATCTACACTGGATAATGGCAAGGGTCCACGTAATCTCGTTCTAACTTCCTGAGATGCTCGCACCCCGTATCAGATAAGAAAAATCTCATGCCTTCGGTGATTACTATAAATAAATTAAAAGCGTTCTAAATAAATTAGATTTTCAATTCCTGACATCATAAAACTACGTGGTAAACCATTACAATTTTGTATATAATTACTATATGAGCATATGAAAAATGACTAAGAAAAATAATATATATTTTTTTAAAAAATTGTACGAGATAGGGACTTTCTGGCTTTGAGTTTTATTTCAGCATGCTAAATATACCCCTAAAAATTTAAACACGGAGACAGCAATTTCATTGCAGATTAGTGTGTAAATTCGTGCAGATTAGTGTGATTAATTAATCAATCAATCCTTACACGTTTCCGGCGTGTATAGCAAATGATTCCCAACTTGTCCCATTGTGGTCCCCTACATGTTTCCTCACATAATAACCGCACGATAAAGTGCATGTTTTTCCTACATATTTTTCCATAATTGTTTCCCTAACTATTCATCACAAGTTACCGCACATATTAATCAGTATATTGAAGTGTAAATTAAAAATTCAGTTTAAGTGGTTTTTAATACAAAATACTTTTATAGATGTTCGCCCTAGATAGGATAACTTCGTACCTTAAACATCGATCTCAAAGGGTAGAAATACCGTACTGGCCCGAAAGGACATTATTTACTTATCTTTCCAATTCTTTACCAATTGAATATGGGGTTCTGGAAGACTCGATCTTAGGTCCTATTCTCTTTTTGTTATACGTTAACGATGTCGTCGTCTATAAAAAACCGAAGAACGATTCTGTTTGCCGATGACACGAATGTTGTTTGCAAAAAAGAAACAATAAATAGTACGATTTTAGAAGTTTCAAATTGGTTTTGTAATAACAAATTAATAGTAAATTAAGGAAAACCAGTTTCAATGCATTCTTGCCTTTCAAATCAGCAATCGCATGCTCCATTGAAAATGAATAACATGCAATTAGGTGATGTTCAGGTAACAAAATTTCTAGATCTGTCAGTTCAGTCAAACCTCAAATGGAATGTGCATATAACAAAATTAAACACTAAATTAAGTTCATTATGTTACGCATTCAGAATTCTATCATTCTATCGTTGCGTGTATTTTGTAAATGTACATTCCCGCCTGAGATATGGTATAAACGTCTGGGGAAACTCATCATGTAGTACTCAGCCCTTCATATTGCAAAATAAAATTATTCGAATAATGAAAAAATGCCATCCGCGTTACCCTTGCAATCCCCTCTTCATCGAGCTTAGAATCTTACCACTGCCTAGCCTATATATTTACATACATATTTTCATGCAATACTGATATTTACAATTACAAGACACGTCGTAAAAATCACGTTCATCAAGTGTCAGTATCAACAGATCACTATCAGAAATCCACATACAATTTATGTACGTTACTTTATAACGCACTGCCAGATGACGTTAAACAATTAAAGTCGGTTCACAAATTTAAGTTAAAAGTAAAATATTTTCTGCTGAATAACTGTTTCTATACAATTAGAGACTATACTGATTATCAAAAAGAAAAATAATTTTTATTTTAACAAAACAGTGATATGTAATGAATTAGTTTACATTTGTATTGTATAATTTTTTTAAAGTCTTAAAATGTTTGTAACAAATAATATACTTCAGCTTCCGGGTCAATGGCCCCCATCTCGATCAGGTTTTTGCCAAGTGTCCCTGATCCATTGAGTAAATGCTGAGATGGCCCCTTGTTTTTATTCTGGACGTAAATGTAGCTTCACTATGCGCACGTTCTGTTGAACTCCTCCGTTGCTTTAATGGTAAGTAGACGTAAGGGCGAGTTGCTATTTTTTACGCAGAGCAGAATAAATACTTACTTGCATTCGTGTCTGTGTGCAAAGTTTTCTAAACTCAAACACGATAATTTTTACTATTTTCAATATTGCTTATCATGGCGATTTAAAAAAATTAATTTATTTTTACTCCAGATTTATGTATAAATTTTACCTCATCTTCAACTATTTTAGTAAAAAAGACGGGAAGGGATTCTGGAACTCAAGAAAACGTGCGCAGATAATCATTTCCTCCCTACATCACGTACAGGTTTTACTGTTTTTTGACTGAATAAATAAAATAAAATGTTTTAGAAGCGATAAATGCAGTAGTTCTAGAGAATGAAATAGAAAGTTCTGAATAGGTGGAGTACCCAGAAGAGCGTAAACCTCCAAAATAGTAGAGAAAGGCCCCAAAAATGTTTCGCAAAAAATTGCTCTGAAACACGTCACTTTTAAAATCACATATTTATTTGCAAATAGCTTCACATTGGAACCGAAATTAGATTCGATCACAGTGCAGCTGAAATATCGGTCGTTCGCTACCGGACGACTACGAGAGAAATCGTCCGACGTGTTTTAACCCAAAAACATCCGACTGTTACACTCGAAATCGTTCAAATATTCTCATAATTCCGTAGTCTATTTTATAAAATTTATATAATGTAAAATATAAAAAATTAGGGATTTTGAAAATATATTATTTTTGAGTGAGTTTTTTTTATTCTGTTAGCAGGAAATACAAAATAGTGCCAAATTTTGTCAGGGAAGTTTCGAAATTTCACCAATTTTGAAATGTGTTTACGCAAAATTAATTACTCTGTAATACATACCTAACTCACTAATTTTGATTCACGCAGTTTTTTTTTCGATAAAAACTATTTAGTGTTCTATTTGGCAAGGTCAACTACTAAGCCTACGAAATACTATACAGCACCTGAAACGAAATAATGCAAGAGCAGCTCGCTCATGAATCTTCAACCATGCATCTACATCTACACCCACACACACCCACACACCCACACATACACACACACACACAATCACCACCGCCAATTTAAAAATATAGTTCTTACTTGCTCGCTATTCTAGACTTTGATACGTTTACAATTGACTTGAGTATTTCTGTCAGTTCGGACTAAGGGTTTCCGCAGACTTGTGTCACGATGTCATGCACGCTCATTCTGGGTACAGGAATATTAACATGAATTATAACAGGTATACTCAAAGAAAGGGGGAGGTGCTGATGGGGCTTCAGGTCTCCCCTCCTCAGAAGTCAATGATACTTATTAAAAATATAGATTTTACTACTTTTCTATATTAACAAAAATCATTAAATATATCGGTAATTGTTTAGTTTATATAAATTGCATTAGCATGGTTTAGGTTATATGAATTAACTCTAAGTTATCAAATAAAATGGTTATCTTTATGTTAAGAGGGCTCTGTGTGTTTGTGAGTTTTGTTTCATCGTTGAGAGGATAATTTTTTGGTAAGACCGTAGGTCAAGTCCAAGAGTCCATAAAAAAAGAACCACTTTGCTCACGAAATAAGTACATTCTTTCTTCAACTGTAAAAAAATATAATATTCGAAAAAGGTTTATTTGATATTGGAATAAGGTGTTTGAGATATCGGAAATGGACTATTTTATACATAGTCGTGAAAGTGGAAACGGTATTAAGAAATACGGTTGTTTACTTTGTTACATTTTCATGCATGGAGTACATTTTTGCATGATAACAAGACAATTGTCTTGGCAACCGTCGTTTTTAATGGATATTAAAAAATTACCTACATCACGTGAGGAAAGCAATGTACAAAAGTTGGTCTATTTTACACAGTTTCAAAAAAATACATTTAATGATAATATTGAAAGTAACTGACACTTTGAAATTTAAGAAACAACAACAAAGAAATTTTATGCATTTGAAAGAGACATTCTGGAACTATTTTGATACATAGTTGCTATTTACATAGAGACACTTATCATAATGAGACACAAGCTTTTCAATTCCTTCTCTGTAGAAATATGAGGCTATAGATTTCAATCACTGGTTTACACTGGCATGAAGTGCTGCGTCACTGTCAAAGCGCTATGTTGCGAGTCAGGTCTTCGTCGTTGGAAAAATGTGGCAGTCACTCGGCGTCAGATCCGATGTACTCTACTGTGGGTGATCAAACACATGCCGACCTGCCCCATCTACGAGCTCTTGGGTATGATCAGCCACGAGTGGACATGCGTTGTCGAGGATAAACAACAATTTTGAGCTGTTTTCCCCGACGATTGTTTTGTATCTCTCTCCTAAATTTTGTCAATGTTTGCAATACCTTTGCGAGATAATTGTTGAGATGAATTTCATTTGGTTTGAGTTTTCTTACCAGTAACATCCTAATCACTGAACGCACCTCATTACTCCAGGAATTTTCCATTGAAACACAAATTTCAATAATTCGCCACGAACAAAGTAGGAAAAGCAAAGTCCACACGCTACTACAGCTTAATTAGTACTTAGTTTTGATGCAGAGATGACAGTTCTATCTCTATTCATCTCCACGCTAGGCAAACGTAAGTTAGTTACATAGATTTAGTTATATAGATTTATTTAGTCAAAAAACAGTAAAAACTGTATCTGACGTATGGGGGAGAAGATCATCTGCGCATGTTTTCGTGAGTTCCAGAACCCCTTCGCATAATTTTGACTATAAATAGTTGAAAGATGAAGAAACGTTTAAAATAAATAAGTTACTTTCTGGCCTGCCCTTGTACATTTAACGTAGATGAAAACTTCTTTATAAGAAAATGTCCAGTTGGCTGGACACCATGCCTGTAGCTCCCTCAAAGAAAAATTCTGAGTGCGCCACTGACGTAGTAGGTAGTGATTTGTTTAAGACATTCAGATCGCCAAATTTACGACGTCCGGCAAATGTACGTGCGCGCGATTCACACTGTATACCACGTGATCTTTTCTTTCTCTGACTATTCATAACTACTTCAATAAAGTACCTAAATAAAAAAATCGCGCTGTTCAAAATTAGATCACAGCTAATTATTGTGAAAAAAAGTAATGTCTTCTTCATTATTACAATAAACATTAACGTAATGTTATATATAATGTAATATTAACAGAGTTTGTAAGAATTTAATAAAAATAAACTTGTAAAACCTTTTCTGAACTCAACTTCTTCTGTTATTTGCATTTAAAAAACCTATCAAACTATTAATGTAAACATAAATAACGGAACTTCATATAAAAGTACAATATTGTTGCTTTAAAATAAAAAAAAACAATCTTGCTTCTGTTAATTGGTTTAAAAGATATGTATTGGTGTTTCGTTGCAGGCTGAGGAAGAAAGAAGCTCGTTCCAACTCTTGGGGAGGGGGCGAAGCGAGTGTGACGGCACTTCGATAGCGACACCCTTCCTTCAGCGAACGATGGGCCGTGGGGCCCTGGAAACGATCTCCTCTCGACGCGAGGCGCGCACTGCCCCTCCGCAGCCAGCCTCCTGGTGACCTCTCTCAAGACGTCGGCGGCGCCAGGCCGCGCTGCCTCCTTCCGCCACCCACCTGTCTTCCATTTGTCTTCCACGTGTCTTCCACGTGTTCCAGCCCGCTGCTTGTCGTGGACGCAGCATCCCGGTTGTCCCACGCCACTTTAGTGTTAGCGTCTCACAAAAACGGTTCTGAAGAGAAGTTTAAATGTTTGTCTACGTTTGAGAGTACTGCGTTTGGAAGGCATATTTTGGGAGATTTTATTCATGGGGAGGATTTATGTGAGATTTTATTAACTTCACCATTGTATTATTGTACACTGTTCCTTAACGGATGTCAGATCGAAACGAAAGGAAATGATAATTACAAACATACTGTTCTTGATATGAACCCCAATGAAAACGAGAGTTTGAAAAAGTTTAATCAGAGGTGCAAGTCTCCTATTACATAGGTTTCTCATAAACAGCTAGGGGAATCCATTAGATTCGCCTTTCTTCACCTAAGAAGAAAAGTGCTGAAGTTAAGGGTTCAGAGGTGTGCACTGACTCAAGGGTCTCCACCCTTAGCGTATGGGAAAGCACTTGGAGAGACCGGCTTAAGTGGTATTCTCTTTCAACCAATAAGAAAAGTGCTGAATAAAAGGCACAAAGCTGTAAAAACCTTTCACCGCTTTCCACCCGCTTGATACGTGAGAAGTGTCAGAGACCTTCTTCGGTGCAATAGTCCATCACCCAAGAAGAGAAGTGCTGGAAATAACGCTGTGCAAACCTTACGTGTCTCTGCACCCTTGATGTTGGAGTTGGAGGGCTCTTAGTCTCGCTTCGGCGCTGTACCTCTTCTTCGTCCAAGAAAACGAGTGCTGTACGTCGGTGCAGAAGTGCACAAATAACTCACGACTCGGCTCCCTGGGCGAGTGAGGGAAGAAGTTGGGGAGTCTCCTCCCCCTTCGCCCCCCAAAGCTAGTATTGATATAATCATATCAGAGGTGTGATTAACCTTCCCCGTCACCGCGTGAAGACGTTTGAAAGAAGCTGTTTCGGAGTCGGTCCCCCGCTTCGCCCCCTCCCAGCGCCACCCCAGCGAGGCGCGTGGTGCGCACCCTCCGTGAACCTCGACGCGAGCGAGCGCTACCGCAACCGCGACCGTGACGCGAGTGGGCGTGGGCGCGGGCGCGGGCGCGGGCGCGAACGTGAAGGGCGGCGCGATGAGCGACCCGTCGCTGGAGGCCAGCCCGGCGGCGGGGGCGGCAGCGGCGGCGGCGGCCATGGCGGTGGCGGCGGCGGCGGCCGCGGGCCCTGGCGAGCTCAAGCGCAGCAACAAGCTGGACTTCGCGGCGGCGCGCGAGCGCAGCTTCCTGCGGCAGGGCGGCGGCCACCAGGTAGGTCCTAGCCGCAGCGCGGTGTGCCGCAGGGGCGCCCCAAAAAATAAACTACCGGTCAAATAAAGTGCGGTCAAAATGTACTAATGCTCAATGTATTATATACATTCTATAATACAGGAAAATGTCATAATGCTAAGTTTTATTAATTAAATTTGTTCAAAGAAAATGCATGCTCATAATCAGTCAGTAACATGCTCATAATTTGGATTTCTTTACGACTGCCGAATGTATTCCCCGAGCGTAATTGCGTCCAACAAGGTGACAGAAATTGTGACAATTACATATAGCTAAGTTTTATAATTCAAATGTCTGAAAATTAATGGGGAAATCTTCTACGGCTTGTAACGGGAGTCGAAGTTGATTACTTTTTGGCAATAAACAAGAAGGGAAATTTATTATTAAGAAGTCACAGATATTTCATCTGGTTGGTAGGACATTTTCTCTGGTTGGCAGGTAACTCATCATGCACTGGTGTTCGAGAGACACACGAAATCTATTTAAACTCGTCAGAACGCGACCTTTCAAACACTAATGTTTGGTGAGATGCGATGCCTACCAAACTAGTGGCACATGACACTTGTAACTAATGAAAAGTAAAAAATTCAGTAAGTACATTCAAGATTAATAATGAAAGAAAAATGAAGATTCTTGACATTTTTTATCTCATCCCAGTGATTCAGTTAATACAAGTAAACAAAAACAAAACTATTTTGTTTCAATGAGTTGCTTAATAAACCAAGATACATTACAACAAGTACCAATCGTTGACTTCCTTTCAGTTTAATGCATAAGATCTCCTTTGATATCAAATAGTTTGTGTAAGGGGCGCACTTATATTTTGAAGTCGGCCACGTCCCAAATCATGTCTGTGTTTTCTTCATTTAATGAATATCCAATGTCAAATATTTACTATTTCAGCCTCGAACACTCATGAGTTCTGTAACTCTTGTTGCAATATTTACGTTTTATTTCCGTCATGTCAATATATCTAACATATGTTCCCTTTGCAAATGCATTTCACATCTTGGATATTATTATTATTATTCTCGAGTACCGATGTTCTAAAACAAGCTATTATACGTCCAATTTTGCATCAAATTTCCCTGGAAAATATTTGGTATATCGCAGTAGATATTTCCTTTAAATTTATAAATTATATTAAAGTAATACATCTAAACGATATTTTTACACGTTTTTCTTCTGATACTGCTTTATGTACCAGCAATATATTGAGATAGCTTTTAATATTTTATTAAAAAATTGGTTGATCGTAAATATTTATAAATAATTCAAAAATAATACAATTTTGAAGTATATTTGCAACTAATAAATAAAGGAATTATGAATTGTTTTAAAATATTTTAATCATGTACGATCTCATGTTGGGGAGGCAAAGCTTCGCTCTAGACACGCCCATGATCCGCAAATTAGTGAAATAAGGAATGATTTAAAAATAAGTAGATTGTTACACAAAGCTGGGAACTATAGAGCGCATAGTAAAGGTGTAGCACGACGAGCGAAATTTAATTACACACCGATATTTGTGATGGAATAAACCAAAAGAGACCACGAACTCAATAACTATGTCCTTCGGTTAACATTAACAAAATTGTACTCGTATATTAACCAAAGGATTACACCGATGCGACAATGTCATGGTATTTCAATATACAAATATACATATGGTAGAAGAATCGAGTACAAAAGTATAAAAGAGCAGTGCATTGGCAGAGCTTTCATTTGTACTCAAGTGAAACATGTGAAAAGGTTTCTGACGTGATTGTGACCGCACGACGGGAAATAATAGACTTCGAACACGGAATGGAGATAGAGCTAGAGTCATGGTACATTTTATTTCGGATATCGTAAGAGAATTCAATATTCCGACATCCACAATGTCAAAAGAGTGCCGAAAATATCTTATTCCAGGCATGATCTCTTACCATATGCAACGCAGATGACAGCCTCCACGGTCAAGAGCAGCGGCGTTTGCGTAGAGTTGTCAGTGCTCACAGACAAGCAACAGTGTGTACAATAACCATAGAAATCAATAAGGGACGTACAACAGATGTATCCGTTAGGGCAGTGCGGCAAAATTTGTGTTTAATGAGCTGTGGCAACTGAAGACCAACTCGAGTGCCTTTGCCAACAACACGACATCGCCTGCAGCGCCTCTCTTGGGCTAGTGTCCATATCAATTGGACCATAGACGACTGGAAAACCATTGATTAATCAATTGAGACCATATTTTATTTGATTAGAGCTTATGGTATTTTTAGTGTTGCGCAAATTCCACGAAGCTATGAACCCAAGTTGATGACAAGGCACAGGGCAAGCTGATGTTGACTCCATAATGGTGTGGGCTGTTTTTACTTCGAATGGACTGGGTCCTCTGATCCAACAGAACCGATCATTGACTGTTAATGGTTATGGACAGCTTCTTGGAGATCATCTGCTGCTATTCATGGACTTTATGTTCCCCAAAAATAATGGAATTTTTATGGAGAATGCGCCACGTTACCGGGCCACACTTGTTGGTCTAGTGCGAGGAGTCAACTTTTAGTAGTATCCCCTGGCTTAGAGCAATGCTCTTCTCAGACGTTGGTCTCTATCCGGGCCCGGGCCAAGCCGAACGAGCCGCCGTGCTGTCGCATCGCGTTGCGTCGATTCCGCACTCGGGCACAGAGAAGCGACGACTGCAGCGATGCACCGGACATCAATAACTGCCCGCGCGCTATCGATCACTCCTCACTCCCAGTCCGCCACCAGGGCGGCGCCGGGACGCGAACCCCGGCCGCCACCGCGCCAGTCTCCGGGCGCCGCGGAGAGAGAAAGAGAGTGAGTGTTGTTGACACTGAGAGCATTAACTGTCGAGATCATTAGCCCCGAAAGAGAAGTATGCTATATCCAGAAAGGTTGCTGTGTTCCTTGCTAGAATGTGACTTTCTCACTGGAACGGCGCCCACTCATACGTAGACTTGCAATCCGTTCATGACAGGACAAGCTCTAAGTTTCCGATTGGTCTTCCGGCATATTTGGTTGTTAAATAACGGTCAATGCGCGTGTGTGTGTGAGAGAGAGAGTGTGTGTGAGTGTGTTTGTGAGTGTGTGAGTGTGTGAGTGTGAGTGTGTGTGTGTGTGAGAGAGTGTGTGTGAGTGTGTGTGAGAGTGTGTGTGTGAGAGAGTGTGTGTGTGTAAGAGAGTGTGTGTGTGTGAGAGAGAGAGAGAGTGTGGTGTGTGTATGTGAGATAGTGTGTGTGTGTGTGTGCGTGCGTGCGAGCGAGCGCAAGGGTAGTGGCTAGGATAACAATGAAGGAAAGATCGCGCGTGCTCGTCTGTTCGTTTGTAAGGGTACTGCTCTGGCATTCGCCTGGTGTATCGAAAACCATGGAAAACTTCCGGTAGGAACAGCCGGTAACAGAATTACCTCCCTCTCAAAGGTTGAACTCGACTCTGCTATCTAATGTCGAAAACACATTCCTAAGGATTCGAATCTTATGACTTGCTAGTCAACAATGTTGCAAACAGCTGGAAAACGTTTATCGTGGACACTGACAAGGGAGGGTACGAGAAGAGATGGTGAATTTCGAACAGAATTTGTAATGGTAGGATATAAATATGACGTTTCAGAACTTAACTCCAAGTCATCACTTTCCTACACATTTCAGATGATAGAAATTTCTAATAACCAAATCTACGTCTGACGTAAGCCATAGTGAAATCGGTTACGTGTAAGGTAATTTACTCGAGACAGTTGTTTGAATTAATAACAATTTTTATTCATGAACAGTTTTAGATTAATATCCAGTAGGGTTCAGTATCCAACTTACGAGTATGTATTATCTTAGTTCACAATGATTTTGCACTTATATGTGCTTCTGATTGGTATGCAACTCACAATACGTTGTTTTCCAGGTCTCGTTCTAACAAAGACTTCATTTATCTGCAGCACAAATGTGCATTATGCCTATCAGAGCCAAAAATTCTCTCCACGTGCAGGCAGACTCACCACAGACGAAAGTTATTACTTTTGATCTTTCTAAGAGGCCAAGAAATTTGTAACTTTTATTCTGAGACATCCCTTGTTTTCTCTTCTGCCAAAAAACAAAAAGTT